TGTTACAGATATTTTAATGAGCTCCTTTTGTTCTAAGGCATACTCCTAACAGCTTGAACTGCTTCTAAATCACTGGAAAAATACATGATTGTTCATTTCATTTTGCACTCAGTTTAATTTTAGACTTTCTTTTTCTCAGGAAGCTTCAAAAGAAGATTTTTAATTTGTACTAGATGCTTTTTGTTTAATAAAATGTTTACAGAAAAATATATTTAAATAACTTATGCTGCTATTTAATATTTGCTGCAGTAATATAGAGCCTTGAATGTAGAGCCTCAGTCAGTCCTCAATAACTATTTTAATATTGTGCATGTTTTTTATAATTTAAATGCATATCAGCTAAAAATGAAATGACCTGTTGTAACCTTTGAAATGTAAGTTTATTTACTCTTATGCAATATAACACTTTGGAATTTGGTTGCTAGGTCTAATTTCCAAGATGATCCCACATCTAATTCACAAAATGATAGATAATTTGGTATCTCAAAAATGCCTAAACAGGGCCAGCCTGATAGCTCAGCAGTCTAAAAATGCCTAAACAAATCTAATATAAAACCTAATAATTGGGGCTGGGGAGATGGCTTATTGGAGTAAGCGCTTCCCTGGCAAGCATAAGGGCCCAAGTTCAATCCCCAGTTCTACAAAACAAAACAAAACAAAACAAAACAAAACAAAACAAAACAAAACACAAAAAAACCCAAAAAAAACACCTAATAACTATTATCTTGCATTTCTTTGTAGATCTGGTGTGTGCTTTAAAAATAGTGTTCCAGATATAATTAATGGTTATTTAACATGATCATTTAAGGGCCAGCCAGATAGCTCAGCAGATTAAAGTGTGTGCTTAGGCAGATGTAGGAGCCAGAGGTTCAATCCCCATCCTGCCATGTTGGCCTTGCCCCTGGGCAAGCTGAGATGGTGACTGAGACTGGGCGTGGTGGTGTGCACCTGTAATCCCAGCACTTGGGAGGCTGAAAAGCAGGATCACCATGAGTCTGATCTGTGTAGTGAGATCCTGTAGACCCTGCACTAAATACATAAAACAATGGTCATTTAAACACTAAATTCTATCCAGATAACTTGACAAGCCTTCTCAATAGCATTAAAATGCTCTTCCCCCTTGACCTTCTGTGTTTTTTAAAACATAGAAAAAAATCCCTTGAACATGACAGAAATAATTTAAACATCTTAAAACTTTATAGTCTAAAATGGCAGATTATTCTCATATATCTCTTTCTAAAATAAGCAAGAGGGGTTTTTAAAGATGCTAATCCCAAAGACAAAAGTAATAGGAGATAAGAGTGAGTGAAAGATATAAACTCATTTTTCAGTCCAGACAAAGTTGACTATAATAATAAGTGCATTCAGTAAGTTACATGCTAAATGTCTGCAAGGGATCATACCAGAAAGACAAGTCCACTTGTGATAGGCAACTCATAATTTTGTAGGAGACTCCAGGAAAGATGGAAATGTGCTGGGCTAGATATGTGAGATTCATTCAAGGGAGCTAGAAGTTGTATGTTCAGGATCCCTGTCCTACCTACCTGCCCTATGAAGCCAGATGGTTCTCTACTCCAGAAGGATACAAGGTTTATTTTCTGGATGAACTGTCCTAAGAAAGGGCCAAATTATAGAAAACAAGCACAGAACAATGTTGGGTTGTGCAGGATCTGAAAAGGAAATTATATGAAAGTCTATATATTTAGTGCAGGAGTGAGACCCCTTCTCCTTTGTTCTCATCAAACCAGTATCTAGGCCTATAACCCTCCCACCCCATCCCCACTCATGCATACAGAGTTCAGCTTGGAAGATTTTCTCTGAAGAAACATGGCCCTAGAGAAAATTCCAAATTTCAAATACTGACATTTGGACACTGTAAAAAAAAAAAAAAAAAAAAAAAGTCAGATCAGGCCACTTACTATGGTGAAGACTACCTGTTGACGAACTTATCCACTCAAAACCTGGTCTTTAATTCTTTGTTTTGAAATACCAACTGACAGCCAAGAGTAATTAGACCCCCCCAAAAAAAAAATTCTAAGTGAAAAAAATCACTTCAAAGAGAACCATTTCAGCATACCTACTGCCCACAGATTTTGTTTTTCCCTCTACAGTAGCAAGCCTCAGGCTTCCACTCCACTGCCTCTGGCAGAGCTGGAGCAAGCAGTGGAGAGGCTTGTTAAGGATTTTCTGATGAAAGCAGCCATCAGCTTTTGGTAGCCAACTCTACACAGTTCGTCTTGTCTTTTCTCTCACTCCTCTACCACCGAGCTACACTTCTAACTCGCCCCCTCCCCCTTGGTTGAGCCGACACCTTCAGTCTGGCCATAGTTCAAGCATGCTTTGTTCCTTTTTTGTTTTCGTGCTAGTTTTATTGAACCATGTTTGCAGTACACAGTGATTATACGTATAGCTGGCAGTTGGTACCTGTGCGAGACACATTTAATTCTTTTTACCTCTTCTCCTCCTGGCCTATAAACTACTTTCAATGGCAGTATTACAAACACATTTCATCCAAGTGTTCATTTCCGCTTCCTGCTGGGCTGCGCAGCGGGTTGCTGCTGGGCCCCTTCTGGCCGCTCCTGAGCCCCGCGAGCCCCAGGCTGGGGGTTACTCGCGAGCGCGGAAGACTACCGTGGCGCGGCCGGCGGTGGCCAAGCCCGGGGTTCCGCGGACTCCGGGCGGGAAGTGGGGGCCGCGGGCTTCAGTCAAGGCTCCTACCCCCAGAGTCGAGTGGCCCAACATGAAGTCCAGCCCCTCCATCCAAGCCGCCATCGACCTCACGGCAGGGGCTATCGGGGGCACCGCGTGTGTCCTGACCGGGCAGCCCTTTGACACAATAAAAGTGAAGATGCAGACGTTTCCCAGCCTGTACCGGAGTCTCACCGACTGCTTCCTGAAGACCTACAGACAAGTGGGCTTCTGTGGCCTCTACAAGGGAACCAGCCCTGCGCTGATGGCCTACGTTAGCCAGAGTTCTGTCCTATTCATGTGCTACGGCTTCTGTCAGCAGTTTGTCAGGAAAGTTGCTGGACTGGACAAGCAGACAGAGCTGAGTGACCTTCAGACTGCCGCTGCAGGGTCCCTGGCCTCTGGGTTTGCTGCCTTGGTTCTCTGCCCCACTGAGCTTGTCAAGTGCCGGCTGCAGACAATGCATGAAATGGAGATGTCAGGGAAAATAGCAAAAAGCCATAACTCAATCTGGTGTGTTGTGAAGAATATCCTTAGGAAGGATGGCCCGTTAGGCTTCTACCATGGATTCTCGACCACTCTCATTCAGGAGATACCAGGCTATTTTTTCTTCTTTGGTGGCTATGAACTGAGCAGAACATTTTTGGCATCTGGGAGATCAAAGGATGAACTAGGCCCTGTCCCTCTGATGTTAAGTGGTGGAATTGCTGGAATCTGCCTCTGGTTTGTCATATTCCCAGTGGATTGTATTAAATCTAGAATTCAGGTTCTTTCCATGCATGGAAAACAGGCAGGATTTATTGGAACTCTCATAAGCATTGTGAGAAATGAAGGAATCCTAATCTTATATTCTGGACTGAAAGCTACCCTTATTAGAGCAATCCCGTCCAATGCTGCACTGTTTTTGGCCTATGAATACAGCAGGAAGATGATGATGAGCCAATTGGAAGCATCCTGAAATGTCGGTGGACCTCGATGCAATGCTTGTATTTGAGGACTAAATTGTTCTTGGGGTTTATAGAATATAAATCCAACATGAAATTATTATTTTTTTCTGGCAGCTTTTAATCTATTATTGTCCTCTTTTAATGCAACTTCTGTGTCAACTGCATTTGCTTCCACCTAAATTATTTTTGAGAGTGTGAGAATTTTGTTTTGTCTTGTTTCATTCTAGACTTCACACTGTATGGAAAGATCTCTATTTTGTATCCCTTAATTTAACTTTATAATCACATTGAAACAAATGTTGCTGCTCTAGGGGGATATATAGGTTGAGCTCTGTGGCTCTGTATTCCTAATCTGAAAGGCTAAATATAGTTATCTCAGGCCTTTTTCATAAACTTACATGCAGTTTGGATGATTATGTGTTGTGAATGAAATGCAATTTGGTTCCCTATTTAGTCTCAACTATCACCTAAAAATTCCAGAGTTGATCATGTTTCATGGAGATAGGGCATAAATGCCTACCCCTCAAAATGTAGGGTCTCTTAAAATCTGCTTAACATGTATACCACATTTGGCTACGTTTTTCTTTATAAAGGTCTTTATGTAGTGCTTGAGAACCAAAATATTCATGTAGATTTTTGAGAGAGTGTAGCTACAAGGTGGTGAGGATTTCACGTGCTTGAGTAAAATTTCATGGTAAGCATCCATAATTTCCTGCTCTAGTCTTTGCAAAGTGGAATTGTATTCTGCACTGTGATAATATTGTTAGGTGTGGCCTGAAATGCGAGGGGCTTGGGGAGCAACGTGGCCTTCACCCTTCCTTCTTTAACAGACCCAGGTTTTAGATTAGGGAAGGAGCTGGTTTGTGTTGTTATGCTTTAATAAAGACTCATGTGGATGGAAACAGTTCTCAGCTTTTGGTCTCCAGATCTTGGCTACGGTAGAATTTCAGAGAGTTCTATAGCCCATTTAAGCAATATTGATTCACTTTGGGTTACTCACTGTTTCCTGAGCTTCTAGTACTAGAAGTTCTTTCAGGGAACAGGAAGTACCAAAGCTCCTTGTTTTGGTGACAGAATAACAGTACTCTTGAATGATATCATCTCCCTGGGCAGAGAATTTAGTGCTTTCATTCCATAGTGAGAAGTGTCAGGGTGACCCTGAAGTTTATATTGGAGTCCATAGCCCTTTGCCATGCTGTCAAGTGTTCTAGCCTTCTAAATTTGGTGCTGGCAGTCAGTGAATTTTAATGATATGGAATATGGCTATAAAAGCTAATAAGAAAAGCAACTTTATTTACATTGCATGTACATACATACATTGAAAAAAACCCTCTAAAACAACTGCCCTACACCCAAACAAAATGAAACTCCCCAAATCATAGTTCAACTGGTCCTTACAACTTAGATTTGAGCAGCTATTCTTTGGCTTTATGTTGTAAGACAATTATTCTTTCCTCTACTAAAGCAAGCTCATTATTCTGTGCTTGGAGACAGAGTCTCTTAATATCAAGTATCCTTAAGCACTTGTAAAACTAAAAGGAAGTGAGCTACCAGTCTTAATAGTTCATCCATTTGTGTCTATCATTCAGCAGAATGTCGACTCTGTATGAAGTTTCCAGTTTCTTTAAGCTTTTTGCAATCTGTAAAGCTGCAGTGACAGAAGCAAGAGAGTCAGAGAAATGAGATGTCCCAAGAATCTGGGGACATTTGAGACGGGATTGCTCAGTGTCATGGCTGATGTGCTCAAGATCTACGGTTGGCTTTACATTTATTTGCCTTCACTTGAAAACCATTTTTCTACTTTACTCTTAAATTATTTATGCATTTAAATTATCTATTCCACCTTTTGGCCAGAACCACCATCTTCCAGTAATTTGCCAAAATGACTAACACAAAAGGCAAGAGGGAGGGAACCCAGTATGTGTTTTCCAGGCCTTTTAGAAAACATGGGGTTGTTCCTTTGGCTACATACATGCGAATCTACAAAAAGGGTGATATTGTAGACATCAAGGGAAGGGGTACTGTGCAAAAAGGAAGGCCTAACAAATGTTACCATGGCAAAACAGGAAGCGTCTACAATGTTACTCAGCATGCTGTTGGCATTGTAAACAAGCAAGTTAAGGACAAGATACTTGCCTAGAAGATTAATATGCGTATGGAGCATATTAAACACTCAAAAAGTTGTGATAGCTTCCTGAAATGTGTCAAGGAAAATGATCAGAAAAAGAGGGAAGCCAAAGAGAAAGGTACCTGGGTTCAACTGAAGTGCCAGCCTGCCCCACCCAGAAAAGCACACTTTGTGAGGACCAATGGAAAGGAACCCGAGTTGTTGGAACCTATTCCCTATGAATTCATGGTATAAACTGGGAGTGTTGCTCTGCCATTCAGTTCCTAATTGGCAGCCTAAGTGTTCTAGGTCCCATGTAAAAATAAAATAATCCTGTGTTGTAAGGGTGGTTTTCTTAGTTGAACAGGTATGTGGTGCCTTCTTACCTCAGAAATATTTGCAGCAGATTTTCACTGTACCTAGTAATTGTGTCTAGCCTTTACTCTTTAGTATTTTCTTGCTGAAAGATAGTGCTGAGGTAGTGTGCAGGTGTATACCCAAAAATTCAAGTATTTGTAAAATATTTATATTGGCTTGAAGATCTTGTAAATCATCATGGGGAAAAGATGTATCAAAATAAATGGAAGTCACTTCAGAAGCAAACTTAAGGGGCTGGGGAGATGGCTCAGTGGAATAAGTGCTTCTCTGGCGAGCACAAGGGCCTGAGTTCAATCCCCAGTTCCACCAAAAAAAAAAAAAAAAAAAAAAAAAAAAAAAAAAAAGAATAAGCACTTCCCTGGCAAGCATGAGGGTCTGAGTTCAATCCCTGGTTCCAGAAAAAAAAAAAAAAGAAAAAAAAGAAAAAAAAAGAAACAAGTCTATTTCAGTTAAATAAATTGTTTAAAGTACAAAAAAAATTATCCATTCCATACTTAAATAGGCAGTAACTACTGAGTGGTGCTGTGTCTCAGCAGGCCTGAAGTAAAATAGGATAGAAAACAGGCCTCGCTTTCTACAGAAAGTTGACTATGTTGGCCTACACTCCTCTTGTATAGCACTTATGAGCTAGTTTAAGTTAGGTCTGTTGTTAGCCGATCATTTCATATGTTGTGCATTAAAAGTTTACCTAAATGTCTTTAACAGAAATAGTACAAGGCAAGTGGGAGTGGGAGTGAGGATTGGAAATCTAAGCATATTTTCCCCATTTTTTTACTCGCTTTATGGCTTAATATTTGGTTACATTTTGTATTACTTCAGGTCTGTATTTCAACCAACAATATAATAAGTTAAAATATGTTTAAACAAATTTAGATGTTTCATCATTAAATTATTTATCTTGCATTAAAAAATATAGCTTTTACCATTTGCAGTGTGTCATATTGAATTCTGGGTATCCAGACACTAATAATATTGATATGTGGAAACCTCCAAATGACACAGGGAGAAAAACTGATCTCCCAACCAAAAAGGTACCTGGGAGGAGATCGTGTTCTCTAAAACTGAAGAATAAATTTTAGGAACAAATGCAAGTTATGAGCAGAATATATTTATTGGGGGAAAGAAAACTCCTGTCCAAGAGAAACAGGAGGAGGGCCCAAGTGGGTGGTCCCCAGGAAGCTGTCTCTTCCAGGGACTTTTATAGAGGAAAACCATGTGGTGAGGCGTGTCTAAGGTGCTGGAAAAGGCATGGGAACTCTGTTGGGTGGGCATGAGATGGAACAAAACTATGGTCAACCAATGAGATTACAAGCACCATTGCTCAGGTAAAACTGATTAAACCCAGTACCAAATGGGAGAGTCATGTAGCAAGTGGGCAAGAATACTGGATAGGGTCTCTTCCTCTTGGGGGTCGGACTATTGACTCATTTAGGCTCTTTTAAGGTAATTGATACCTATTTAGAATATCAATCCCTGATGCCCATCCCTAGGGAAGTATGTAGCTGTGTTTCCTTTTGTCTTGGTCTTAAGGTGTGGTACATATGGGAGTGTCTGTCTCTTCTAAGTTGCAAAGTCACCTTGTCTTCCATCTTGTCTCCTTGAGGGCCTGTCTGACTGCGTTTAATATTTCTATCTAATTTAATTGCCTACAACATATTACACTTGAGGACCTAATTGTCCAGATATTTGGTATTTGTTATATAAGTAAGAGAGTGATGTTACAGAATAAATTTAAGAGAAAAAACCTAAAATTCCTGTCTCTTTTCCTTCCTCCCTCCTTCCTTCCCTCCTTGTAATCAGTCAGTGATGGAGTCTCTGAATTTAAGGAAACATCTCTTTACCTTGTATTCTTGTTTTTGATAGGTTTCTAACGGTGTTGCAGCAGAGAAACAGGCACAAGGAAAAAGGGAAAGGGGCTTTATTATCTTGGAGGATACGGAGAGAATTTGGGAAGGATAAGAAATTCTCTGGGGCCGGGGAGGTGGCTCAGTGGAATAAGCACTTCCCTGGCAAGCACAAGCGCCTGAGTTCAATCCTGGGTTCCACAAAAGAAAGAAATTCTCTGAATTGCTCTGGATTGGAACAAAGGGAGGCTGAGGCTTTTATGACCTTTTGCCAGGGCTGGGGTTTGAGGGGATGTTTATTTATTTATTTTTTAAACATTTATTTATTAGTGTGTGTGTGTGTGTGTGTGTGTGTGTGTGTGGCCAGCTCAGCCCACCAGGGGGCGGGGCTGGCTGGCATGTGGTTCTGGGGGATCCAACCTCAGTCCCTGTGCTTTGCCAAGCTTGTTCCAAGTAGGTGCTTTAGACCACTGAGCCATCTCACCAGTCCCTGAGGGGATGTTTAGATATACCTGAGGAGCTGATTGGGGCCTTCCCTGAGGTGGCGGGAAAAGGAAATTTCACCCTGGGTTGAGTTGGAGAAGAAGGGGGCAGGTGGTCTCTGGGAAGATAAGCTGTTGTTTTAAGGGCTTCAGCCATACTGGGTGACCACCATAGTAATTCAGCAATTAGTTTTTACACTAACTTTTTCTGGTATCCTTTCAGTTAATACTGTAAATATTTGTTTCTAGGATTGAAATTTTACAAATCAAATTTCCTGATACCTAGCCTTATTGTATTTTACTATTATTATTATTATTATTATTATTATTATTATTTTGGCAGAACCGGGGATTAAGCTCAGGTCCTTGCACTTGCCAGGGAAGCACTTATTCCACTGAGCCATCTCCCCAGCCCCTTTAGCCTTATTTTAAGTTTTACTTTTTTTTTTTTTTTTTTTTTCCGGAACCAAGGATTGAACTCAGGCCCTTGCGCTTGCCAGGGAAGTGCAAATTTTACTTCAATTCCACATTGTATAATTTGTTTTGTTTTGCTTTGTTTTTGCAGAACTGGGGATTGAACTCAGGCCCTTGCACTTGCCAGGCAAGTGCTTATTCTACTGTGCTATCTCCTCAGCCCCCTGTTTTGGTTTTTTGAGACAGAGTTTCATTAAGTAGTTTAGGCTGACCTTGAACTCAAGGCAGTCTTCCCACCTCAGGCTTCCAAGTGCTAGGATTATAGGTGTGTACCACCACACCTGACTCACACTGCATAATTTACTTCTTAATAAAAAGCTTTTGGGGCTGGGAAGATGGCTTAGTAGAATAAACGCTTCCCTGGCAAGCCCAAGGGCTTGAGTTCAATCCCTGGTTCCACAAAGAAAATAAAAAGCTTTTGCTGTTGTTTACTGTTTGGTCTACTGTCACAGTCTTCCTGTTGCAATGTAATAGTGATATTGTACCAGATGTTCACCTTGTTTTAGCTTTCATGAGATACCAAGCTTTTGTAGCTGAGTGGACTGCAGCCGGCGAGGGTGTCTGTGGCGCGGACTATGCTGGGCTGGCTGGGCCGGAGGGTCCTGTCGGGGACACGAACGCCTCCGTGGGTGGTGGTGCCCCGGGCCCTGCGCGCGGCTGGCTCGCGGTTCGTGGCGGGGGCAAGCGAGGGGGTGGAGCAGCCGCCCCGAGCCTTCGACCCCGCGCTGCTGGAGTTCCTGGTGTGCCTGCTTTTCAAGAAGCCGCTCCGATATGAAGCATCCACAAATGAACTGATCAATGAAGAGCTGGGGATAGCTTATCCAATCATTGATGGCATTCCTTACATGATACCACAAGCAGCTAGAGCAACGCATCAGCAGAAGCAAGAAGAAACAGAGCAGCACTGAATCAACGTTTAAAAAAAAAACACACTGCTACATTTTCTTAATTCTTATATACACTTTAAAACAGGGCCGCAGCGGTTTGTGAGTGAGGAGGCAGAGTGTTTCTGTCTCTGCCTACTCTGACTGTGCTTATTCCACTGATCTCCTTAGCAGGACTGTTCTACTCAGCCTCTTTGGAGGAGGACTTCCCACAGGGCTGCACAAGTACAGCCAGCCTTTGCTTTTACAGTCTGCCCTTGCCCATCACCGAAAGCTGAGTGAGGTGGAATACTGGAGACCTATTTAGTTTGGAGGAAAGTTGCTTTGCCTTGCTTAACTCAGTTTTAGGACTAAAAGGCTTAAGATGCAGAAGCTTTGATTGTACTTCTACTTCTGCCTTTGTTTTTTGAAGATTCTGACTGCTGTGTCAGAAACAATAAAATGTTGTGATGGAGATTAACTCCTCTAATCAAAAAAAAAATGTTCTTATGTAGCAGTGGAGCATGAAGCTTGCTCATTTTCTTCAAAATTGGACATGGAGAGAAAAGGTAAGTTATTTTTCTTTGGCTTTATCCTCTAAAGGGGAGTGATAATTATTTCCAGTAAGATGTTGTGTCCATAATATACGAAAGGTGAGTTACAGTCTCTGTGCTTCCTGACCTTTTCAAGGTTGACAATAGTCCTCTTTACTGATGCTCTCTGCTCACTGCTCAAGTCTTGATGACTTTTTCAAAACCACTTCAGAACATTTGGTATTCCCAGCTTTAAGTTTTCATGCTGAGATGAAAAATTTCACTGGTATGTAAGTAGCTTTGTAGAAAATCAACATCTCTTAAAATCCCACACATTCTCTGTGTGAAAATAATGTCTCCATAAAAGTTCTTATTATTTCTGCTACTGGGAATCCAGAGAGTTGTGTGTATAGTAAGCATTTCTTACTATAAGCATGACTGCCAAAGTAAAACTATTACAGAGATATTTTCCCATTTCTGTAAAAATAAATTTAAACTATATGAATAATCTGGGCATGGTGGTATACATCTGTGGCCCCAGCTAAGATGAGATCATTTGAACCCAGGAGTTCAGGGCCAGCCTGGGCAACTGGGCAACTGTTAAACTAGGTTGTCAGTATTTCTTTCCTCCCCTCTTTGCTCTTCTATCTTGAGTTAAGCTGGTTTGGGTCAATCATTTTTTGTTCATCATCCAAATCATTATGGTTGTTTTTTGTTTTTGTTTTTTTTTGCGGAACCAGGGATTGAACTCAGGCCCTTGCTCTTGCCAGGGAAGCACTTATTCTACTGAGCCATCTCCCTGGCCCCCAAATCATTATGTGAATGTGTGTTTATATGACAGTAAAATCAATCCAAATCTAGTAGACAGAACCCAGCTAAACACTTGCCTTTGGTGGGCAGACTGCCCAGAACCCAAGAGACAGAGGACAGCTGGGTCAGTGAGACCAGCAACGTGGCAGCAGCGAGAAGCCAGCAGTGGGCTCTGGAGAGCTCCACCAACATAAGGCCAGGCCCAGCCACGATCCGGAGGCCAAGATCAGCTCTGTACCCAGCACAACTCCCCTGGCAAACATAGCTGGAGGACATAGCACATTTCTGGGATCTGACATGGACACTATCACAGAGCTGCAAACACTGAAAGTATTTTGCTATTTTATTCTCCCTTCCGTTGTTTGTCTGATTGGCTATGCCTTTCCTGCCTGATTGGAATTTATCTTGTTATTTGTTTGTTTGTTTGTTTGTATTTTAGGGAAGGGTCTACAGGGTGTTCAGGGTCTCACTACTAGATCGAACTCATAGTGATCTGCCTGTTTATAGCCTCCCAAGAGCTGGGATTATAGGCATGGGCCATCACGCCCAGTCTCAACTGCCCTCTCAGAGTGTCCTGGGGGCAGGGCTGGTACAGCAGGCCCAGGGATCAAACCCTGGCCCCTGAGCTTGCCTGCAAGTGCTTTAATCCACTGAGCTATTTGGCCGGCCCTAGAATTCATCTTGTTTTGTCTTTTATTTTATGGCTATTTTTGTTATGAATTTTTTTTCTTTTTTTTGTCCTCTCTTGAGTCTGCTGTTTTTTCTTTCTTTTCTTCCTTTATTTTCCATTCTCCTTCCCTCCCTTTTCTTCCCCCACTATTTAGGTTTCTTACATATCTTTTTTGATTTCTTCTATCAATTCTCTCTTTCCTCAACTACTTTTTGAATTTAAACTTTCAAGTGAACAAACATTGGCTCTTCCTTTTCTGATTACTCCTTTGCATTCTATTTCATTCTTCCCCTTTGGTGTCCTCCAGTTTCCTAAAATTTAGGGGATCACCCTTTGACCTCCAGCCTTGACTCTACCATATTTGACCATAACTTTATCATGTCCCATGCTCACCCTAACACCCACCAGGCCCACACAAAAGGGTAAAGTCATTCCACTAAGGGGAAAATCACTGCATAAAAGTACGTGGTATATGTCTGATTTTGTTATATAACTTTTGAGTTTGCTCCTGTGGTTGGGAGTAGCAGGTTAATGCTTGCCACAGTGTGTCAGTAGTTAAGCTATACTTGAAACTATTGTTGTTACTAATTGTACTATTTTATTTTTTTGATGGAACCAGGGATTGAACTCAGACCCTTGTGCTTGCCAGGGAAGTGCTTATTCTACTGACCCATCTCCCCGGTCCCTAACTACTATTTTAACCAGGAGGTCATACATGTTATACTCAGTTTTCCCCCTGTATGATAACACTGTGATTATATTGGGTTATAATCACCACTGAGCCCAGTACCAAAGGACTGGGTGCTGATCCAAATAGTAATTTTGCATCCTTTACAAATTTGGAAGGTATTTTCTTGGGATAGCTATAAAAAAATCACCTAATCTAGAGGTCATCTCTGAAGAATGGATATCTCCTTGGGCAGCCTTAATACTAGTGATAAAGCAATCAAAAGAAATCAGTAAGCATCAACATAGAAAAGAAAATAAATAAGAGAAAACAGAAACTGACAAGATGCAGAAGGAAAATGCTACCCACATAGGACAAGCCTGCCTCTTGTAAGACAGATGAAAGATTAGTGCCCTTACAAGAGGAGAAAGGGACACCAGAAATTCTTGTCCTTCCACTATGCAAGAATACAGTGAGTAAGAAGCCTGGAGGACAGCCTTTGCAGGACGTGGGTCTGCGGGTGCCTTGACCATTGACTGTCAGCTTAGGAACTATGAGATATAAGTGTGTGTCATTAGGTTAATTTAAAGACCAGAGAGGATTGATGCAGAAAGTTTTCTTAGCACAAGTGCCCCAGAACACCAGGGGTCTGTCTGAAGTAGAGACCTCAGCTACCAATAAGAATCAGGGCAACAGATTTCCCCCTCCTCCCCCCATGGGTTACAGATTTTAAGCCTGGGGTAGGGAGTGGAGGTTGGCCTTGGGTAGACAATGGAATGAGTGATGCAATGAAAAACCCAGCTGGCTTTAAACCTTGAAGAGAAGCTCAGTGTGTGTGTGTGTGTGTGTGTGTGTGTGCGCGCGCGCGTGCTTTTATCTAACCTTTCAGCTTTTTAAAAAACAGAGAAAAAGGAAAAGATACAAGCAAATAGCTCTTTTAGGTTCATGTTTGTGCAACTATCTTCTCCAGTTTACTTCTTTTTATTTATTTATTTATTTTACTTTTTTTAAACTTTTTTTTCATAATTTTATTGATAAACAAGTAGCAATGGGACAGTTTCAAATCAAATCGCTAGGACAGTTTCAATAACTAACACACTGCATATATTCTTCTTGGTGGTTAATTGCTGTACAAGATGCGGACTTGAGATCCTATTTACAAACACCATTAGAACATATCATTCTATTCATTAACAGAATGCAACTATATATCTATCCTAACCACTTTGAATACACAGATACAAAATGGACATTCATCTGTATACCCTTTTTTTTGTTAATTTCCGTTATTTGAACATTATAGGTGTGCAAACTCAGCAAAATATTCTAAAAGAGTCCAGTAGCCCATAATAGCATTGGGTCTTCTGTTTAATCCAGTTTACTTCTTCAGGAATTATACAGTTCTTAAAAATGAGTCTCAGAGCAATCCCTAAACCTACTTAGAGTGCATCACTCAGTTTAGGTCTCAACCTGTCCTCAAAATCATCCTGTCTCTGATGACCAGCAAACTCTGAAGAGTGCCCTAGTGACATCCCCAATCAGCTCAAAGCAGTTACAGATGTCACCACTTGGACCCTTGTCAATGATTTGGTTGTTTCATCTGGAAGATATGGTGACAAAAGGGGTAAAATTCTCAGCACCCAAAAGCTCTTGATAAAATGTTTCTGCCCAGCACCTACTGGATAGCTATAAAATGCTACACTGAGGAGGATCAAAATCAGTACAAGATAAAAGCAATTACAAAAAGCCATTCTTTCTTCCCCTGTAGTCAAGGAACAAACAGTCAAATTGTCTTCAGATCTCTGGGAATGAGCCCACTGTTTCAAATCCAAGGCCAACTCCAGCCTGCTTTTTCCCAATCTGCTGGGACTTGCTGCTGATAACTGATTAGGCCCCTAGTTCTAAGATCCTGTGACCTCTATCACTAAAACAATCCAGGGCTTGTCTAAAGAAGTGAACAAGTGAGGCAACCTCTTTTCTTTTGGACACAGGAACACTGTATATGGTTTGACAGAAATATAGGGAATTTTTAGTTCTCTCCTCTGTCTCTATTAGGGTGGTTGATAGCCTTATGTTCAAACCATTCTATACCAAGTCTCAGCCTTACACCCTAAAAATAACAATTGTGACACATTCCTTTCTAGTGTGAGGACAGAAAGGACCCTTAGTAAGATTAGAATAATGACTCAGGCCCTTTCTAGGGGACAGAAAACAGTTTCTATGTGAGTGTGAGCAGCAAGTATTTTGCGGTTGGAAGTTGATAGGCTATGGATTTGCCACCTGCCTCTGTGCTGGCAGCACTGTCCCTCTTAGTGCCAGCTGCCATGCCTACCTAAATTTTCTTATGAGCCCACAAGACCAAACC